AATTTCACGTGACGAAACCTTTCACATTAATTTCTTGGCAGTTTGAAGAAATAAAATTGATTTACTCAATTCACAATGTTTGGGAGATATTTTAAACTAAAATTATACAAAACAATTTAAATTCAAGGTTTTTTTGCTGCTTCAAACAGAATAAAAAATGAAAAAAAAATGAAAAACACTGATTTTTTACGCATATTTTAAAATTTGAATTTCTAATTGTTCCCTCTTATCCAGACACAAATTCCAATATTGGATATTCACGCACCAGATGTCGGATAGATTTTCAATGCTGGGAACATCCTTATTCCAAAAAGGTATGTGTCTGTGTGGAGCAAGTGTGACTCAAGTTAGAGTGGTTTCAAACACACGGACGGACAAACAAAATTTGCCGCTTATATATATATATATATATATATATATATATATATATATATATTGTACGCTCCGGCCTTCCTTCAGGTGGTTGGAATGTCGAACTGAACCCTTTATTTCGCTCACTGGGGTAGACTGTTCTAGTTCCACGTGCCATGTCTAATGAATGTCAGTTATCAGTTATCTCCTGTTAATTTTCCTCGCCAAGTTCTCCACTGCCTTAACTCACACTCTTTGGGTTCTCTTACTGGATCTAACTAACGCCTTTATCCACTGTGCCATGTATCCTTTCCATTGTCAAATTTCTTAAAAAACTTTGTCGGAATTTTATGTCCTATTTTAATCCCCCATATATATGAGATAATGATATATATTTTAAATATCAAGAACAATATTGGGGAAAATGAATGACAAAGATTTCTTGCCACGTGTTTCGTTCTTTAGGACGTCATCGGACTAAATTTGTTATATTGATGCGACTAGACATTCACACAAATGAAGGGTGCTGGTGATTTTAGAATTTTTTTTGGAGACTTTCTCTTTTTGCCATCACTTTTGTAAGTAGATATTCCATTTCGTGATAATAGAAAATCTGCCAGAATCGAGAAATGAAAGATTCAGGGCGGAAATATACTGTCTATGACCTTGAGTTCAAGGCACTCTCAAGACATTTAGTGAATTGTTTTCTCCTTTGATCAGAGTAGCATTTTTATGTCAACATTGTAGTCAGTCTCGCTTTGCCATTCTGTCAAATTACAGAATTTGGAGCCCATTATGAGTGTAGAAAAAGACAGAGTAATGAATCTCATATTCAATATGGATTCATATCCATCATAATTAGTAGAAAAGAAAGACGCGAGTGTATATTTTGTTATTACGCTTTGTCAAATAATTCTTGGAAATCAACTATGTTGCAGCAACATTTGCCGAAAGTTCATCATTAAAAAAATGAGAAGGACAGGGAAAGCGCCTGAAAAAGATGAAGCTGGATTCAACAGGGTCATTAAACGAACCAAAAGATTAGTGGAATTTGGATACACCATAAGAATCGGACAATTTTAGAAAGGAGGTGGAATGATATTATGACATATGAAAAGGTGAAAAAGACGCATTGGGCAAAAAAGGTTGAGAACTACTGTCGATATGATTTCTGTAAAGAAAGTGTTTAGCATCAATAACAGAGCAAGAAACGTCAAGAAAAAGGAAAGGTAAAAAGACGTATCTAGACTGATTGTAAGGCCGACTTCAATTCATTAGCTGGTATGTTATTATAATAAAGTTTGTCTTACGAGTACCTCATAAATAATGGACTATTCCGTTTTGATTGCGTGGAAATACGAAACAGACATATCAAAAACGGTACTTAGTTTCAGTTAGAAAATGAAAAACAGAAAGAAAGAAGTGTTTAACGTCTGTTTCACTTAAATGGAAAAGTTGTCAATTTAAAATATTTTCGTTTGTACACTCTGATTTCTTCAAATAACGACAAGAATTAACATTTATGATTTTGTTATTGTAACATTTAGTTGAAGTTGTTAAGCTCAGATGCTTAACGATGACAGAATTTCTACGGATATATTATTGTTGTAGAACTCACTAAGAGCTTATTCAATCATCAATGTAAGCAATAAGATTCATCAAAATATTTTAATAGGAAAACGGTGAAATTTTCACGAGTAGTTCTAGTTTATATATATATATATATATATATATGAGAGAGAGAGAGAGAGAGAGAGAGAGAGAGAGAGAGAGAGGCGGGCAGGCAGGCAGGCACGGTGGAGTAATGAATAGCGGCTTGGATTGAGGAATCGGAGAGCCAAGTTCGAATTCCAGTCGAATCCATGACATTCCCTTATGTGCTAAGACCCTTGGAAAAGGTGTGAATCCTCTTCTTCTCCCTCCAGCTATGGGTAAATAGCAGGACAGACTAGGTTCTTTAGCCTTGGATGGCAACTGGTCTAGGAGAAGGACAACTCTGAATTCAAAACCTGCGGAAGGTCGTTTGGGGACCTTGTGGCACGTAGTGCACCAGGTCTCTTTATTCGGCCCTTCAGAAATTGTGGATGGTCCTACACGAAACCTTCACCAGTATTATCAAATCTCATGTGCTGTTGTCGGGCTGTCGGTTTCCTAGGAACTGATCTGCTTGACCCTCATACGTTGAAATCAACGGGAGAGTCAAGAATATATATATATATATATATATATATATATATATATATATATATATATATATATATATACTTGTACCGACAAGAAAATAGACAAGAAAATTGGAACACGATTAAAATAGATTTCTACTTATAAATAAATTAACGACTACAAACAAAATACGAAGTTCCAAAAAGAATATAAAATAGAAAGAAAATTACTGATAGTCCGTCGATGGAACGTAAGGATGGAATAAAGGGTTTCGTTTGTTTAAATAGACTCAGACGATAAAACTTAAAGAACTTCAAGAATTCGGCGATGGTGAACCGATCGAGCATTATGTAAAATGGAAAAAATGCGTCATTATAATAAGCGGAACAGTCGCCATTATCCAGTAAATGCTACACAATGGAACAAATAGATTTATAATTAAAATCCATTTTACTCATGTTTCAATTTTACCTCCTTATTCGCTAACGTGTCTTTGATTGTTTCCTGCTGCTCGTCAACGTTCACCTTTTGCGAAACTGTTGGCCGAAAGTGTCCCCTCAAAATAAAATATTGACGTCCATTCTCTCTCTCTCTCTCTCTCTCTCTCTCTATATATATATATATATATATATATATATATATATATATATATATATATATATATATATATATTAGCAAAATCAATGACAGAGTGGATTTTTTTTTCATCACACGAGTTTTGCACTTTATGATTTCGTCGAATTATAGTGATGTCGACGTCGATGTAAACATACATGCGCATGAAGGAGAGGAGTTGCTGAAATCTGAATCTTTTAAATTTACATTTTTATTTCTAATGAATGTTTTTTGGGTAAAGATCTTTATCAAAAAGTAGAGATTAATCTCCCCCATTTTGATAAAGACCATATACCCCAAAACATTCATTAGAAATAAAAATGTAAATTTAAAAGATTCAGATTTCAGCAACTCCTCTCCTCTCGCCAAGAATGATGAAATATATAAAAACCTGGATGCAAATTCACCGTTTTCAGTAAGACAGGTTCCTCATGTCCTGTAGCTGTTATTGCTCTTTCCAATACTAATGCGGTTTCCATCCTAACATTCTATTTGAAATGGTGTGGAATACCAACATCATAATTATGTCATTATATTCTCTTAGAGTTGCATATGCTATCCATTTTAGTTCTTGCTGCTGTTGGTAGTCCTGAGTTTGGTTTCTGCTATTTCGTACAGTTCTTTTTGATTCTGGAACGGAAGTTCACAATGTTCATAGAAGGATGATATTTGCCAAGATCCTAATGGTTCGCACGCTCAATGATTAGGAAACGCTCGAATAAAGCTGACGTTTTAGACATTTCTGATAGGGTTTGGTGCCATACATGAAATCCATATGAATGGCTCAATCTAATGAGGTTATTTAAGAACATGACTCTAGTTTTCGGGTTAGTCTTTTGGTTTTTGTAGTGGTGTTTGGTCCAAACTATCTCTGGTGCAGCTTATTCTATCTTCAATTCCATTTTTCTCCTATATTAAATTTGTTACAACTGATCCATACGCCGAAGTATCTGAAGTGTTTAGTATTTTTATGATGTTTTCAGGGTAGATGCCATTATTGCTTTCATTCCAGTTCTATATGAATGGCATAAGGTATCGCAATTTTGCTTTTGCGAATGCAGAAATTGCGGTTTCATTGTAAAGATATTTGCGCAATCTTTATTCATAGATAGAACATTAAAATACTGCATATGTTTGGAGGTATGCGCGAGTGAGGAGGTGTCTGAAGCTAGGTGCGTTTTCGCCCATAAATTTTGTGGCTGCATCAGTTTTCTCGTTCACGTTTATTGATGTCATGGCGACCTCTTGAAAATGACTCAATTCATTCAAACGAAATTTTGGAACAATAAAGACATTTGGATCGAGATTAAATCATATAATTGGAAAAACTTTTCACTATTTCATGGAAGACATCTTTTTTTACATCAGAAAGGCAGTGATGTTTTATCGAAAACTTAGTAAGTATAATTAACATATACTTCAAGAGTAAGTTTAAATTGATTTCTACGGGTTATCAACCCTTTTCAGGTTGTTTAAAACCATAAAAAAATTTTAGATTGTAAGACTTTTTTTAAATATAAGTGATACGAGAGAATAATGATTTAGTGATATGAGTCGTACTAATTAACCCATAGCTAGGGGGGGAAAGAAGTACTTTTGTTTACGGTTTATCAATCTTTTCCGGGTTATAGAAAGTCAGAACATATTTTAGACTGCAAGAATCTTTTGCAGATAATAACGATTTACTGATACAATTCCTATTAATTAACCCATAGATAGGGGGAGAAGAGGTGGATTTATACCTTTAGCAAGGGCATTAGCGCAATGTGAATATAAAAAAAAATGCAACTGGAGTTGGAACTCGGCTCTCCGACTAACAATTCTAAGCTATTATCCATTACACCAATTGCACATCGAAGCTAATAGGATATGCTATTCCCAAGCAGTCACCCATTTAGGTACTGACCAGACTAAACAGTGCTTAACTTCGGAGATCGTACCGGAACCGGTATTTCAACATGATATGGGGAAACTGACGCAATCTTTTTCCATTAAATGGCTTACGGCCATATCATGCAGAAACACCGCCCCTCCTAAGCCCATCGCAATTCAGTTACGTCTAATCTGGTCTTACATAGATGAGTGACCACTTGCGAATACCAGGTGCTATACCTTGTATGTGCGGGTGGGGTAATGGATAACGAGTCTGAATTGGAACAAGAATCTTTGATTTCTAATTCGCTTCGGATTTCTTTATATTCACTTATGTGCAAATATCATTGGGAAAGGTGTGTATCTACCTCTTCTCCCCAGCTATGGGTTAATTAGTAGGATGTGTATTAGTAATTAATTATCATCCCCCCAAAATTATTAAATCTTAAAAATATTTTCTAAAATTTTATAAAATATAATCTGGAAAAGTTTATAATCTGGAACAGGTTGGTTAGCCGTAAAAATAAAAATAAAATCAATTTTCCCATAAAACGTGTTCATTATACTTAAAGTTGGCATTTGTTTGATTTTCATGATGAAAACTTTCAACATTTCTCCCTTTCCCCGATGTTTCAGTGAACTTATTACTATCCAAATATATAGTTTAATTATTGATAAAATATACGGAAAATATTTATCACTGTTGCGCTCTTTCTTGAAAAACAGAGTCATTATTCCTGACCATTTTGACTCAAACTGACGCTAGGCTCTGCAAAGAGACATGTAACTATCAGAGTCTTGAGACAGTAAGGCAGGATGATTTTTTCACTTTTTAGAAAAAAAAAAAAATTGCACTCGAGATGAACGTTGCGGTTTGATGTGATAAGTATTGACACCAAAAATTAGATTCATAGCTTTTAACAATTTTTCAGAATTTAGTTTTAAAGATTGTTTTAAAAAAAAATGTACAGAAATACCTTAACTTCCGTCGGTTTTTGTTTATAAACTGACTTCAAAGTTTTAATATTTCAAAAATAAATCCAAGTATTTTTGTATTAGATACAATGAATAGAAAATATATTCAAACCAGAATTCTAGTTGTGAATCACCGCAAGAAAATATGCTTTTTTTTTTACTGTATTCGATAAGTAAAAACTGTAAAAAATTATAAAAGGCTATTCAATGAATAAGATTTGTTTGATCATTTGTTAGATCAAAATTAATTAAAGCAAAAAAATAGATAAAAAAATCTGAATAACACCATAATACTGCTGGACACAAAATATATGACAAAATGATTTAAATTTGCATTGTTTATTGAAAATAGCACGAAAACTACAGCACTGTATAACATCATAATATGGTAAATTTTTCAGTGTAATCTCCCTTTCAAGTAAAAGTCTTATTTGATGTTACATTGATTTAATAATGATGTGGTTCTGCCATGAATCTTGGCTATATACAATTTGTAAAGTTTCAGTAAATAATAAATTTTATAACGCTGTGCTATAAGGTATGAAATTCCAACGCTAAGATTGTGAACCTAAACTTAATCTTTAAACTATGTGGAAAACAATATTTCGTGTTCTTATTTATCATATCAAACCTCAACTTTTAAATGCAATACCAAATTTTCAAAATAGACCTCTGCACAATTGAAACAGACCAGAACTTTATGGCATTTGACTCCCACAATAGGGCGAAGCGGACATTTGTGGTTATTGAAATCCCAACACTCAATGATTTTCACCTCAGTTATGGATTTTTATCGATGTTTTTTTATAATTACGACAAAGATTAAAATAAAACACTGAATTCAAAACTGTTTTAATTGTTTACATATCGTAGATCTGGGAAACTTTTTCAAGAACTATTAAAATCCTGCAATAAATGCTTACACAGAAAACTATTGCTTAAAACTGAAGTTTTATTTATACCTCCTGGGTATGACGATAAACTACATCCAGCTGCATGAGTCGAAAGATTGGAAGTTTTGAGGAGCATGTGACACCACTTCTCAACTGCTCTTGTTCCCTGATTCACCCTGAACAGGAGTGGTAGCACTCGTTAGGGTCCAAGCTCTCAGCAAATAGTTAACCTTCAAACAAAAGTTCACAGTACGTTTTTATAATAAAATGCCCAATAATATATTTTTGTGGCAGAGTAACAACCAATGCAACACACACATACATACATTTTATATATATATATATGTAGTAAAATTACGAACAATATAATTTATAATCTGCAAACTATATATCTAAAAACGTACGTTTACCCTGAAACTATGAAATTATGTACAAAATATCTGTAGTTGAAAGCATAAAAATGATGCACAAAAATATTCAGATTTCGACATTAAATAACTCATAGATGTCGATATGCTTCTAAAAAAAATGAACCCAATCCCACCGAAGCCAACCTCAGCATGACACAAGAAGATATTGGTTTGTGGTGGGGGTTATAATTATATTTATCACGATGCTTCAATTTTTCAGTTAGACAGCACTCACATTACCTTGAGAAAAAAAAATCAGTATTCAAAATTCGTCATTGTACCTGGTGATTTTTGAAAGTCGGAATATGACCGTCATCATCGGGCAGTTAATGAAAGGTCACATTCATTACACTACTGCAAACTTCTGTGACATATGTTTCCCAGCCTTCGCGTTACAGTTGGTACGCCTTTTCTATGCTGTCAGTATCATCTTTCTGAGAAGGTAGCTTCCACCCGCACCCAGCATGTTTTTTCTCTAATTTTGAATATACCGTGGCAGAAGTAATCAGGTCAGAAATTCGGTGCCTCTTACGACACATTGTCTACAGCAAGTCGATAAGTTAAACGCATTGATACCTTCTAACCAACAGAGTTTGTGTTCTAGCTGAAAATAGATTTGAGTACAGGGCTGTGTCTTATTGTCGACTTAAATCTGATACGCGGGAAATTCCGGTAACTGACATATTATCGATTTTCATTGACACTATCTGCGCCAGTGCAGTGTAGTTTCTATGTTCATTTCTTTCTATTGAAAGTGACGTTCCTAGCTTCCCGCTCGAACGATCTTAATTTTGCTGATTAGTCCTAAAGATTGAAAAAAAGGAATGGTTTTGATTAAAGTGTAAAAATAATTACGTAAAGATTTGTGTTAAAATCAAAAAAAATGTTTTAACCTAAGTAATATCGAATATGTAAGCAAGTAGATAACAAAATGGACATTCTCTGTAAACCGTTTCCTCCGTCAAAAGGACTTAATCAGAACGAAACGCCTTACATATTTTTTTCATATTGTCATTCAATTACACGTAGTTAGTCCGATATATACGGTTTATATATTTCTTGGTCCTCTGTAACCAAATTGGTAACGGCAATAGGAGTGATTTCTCTGATGTTAAAAGAATTTGCAGGTTCGATTCATATCGGAAGGCACGTTTTACTTTAGTAGGACTTCTCGATCTGGGTCGGTTGATATTAATTTCATTGTTTAAACCCCCTCTCCCCACCAAAATAGAGGGATATCAACTCAAAAACGTGTACCCTCTAAAATAATGTTAACGGTAATATCGTATTTCGGCAATATCTAATCTCCAATATGGCAGTGAATGCCGGGCAATCTCTTCAGAAAGGTAGAAAGAAACTTGAAGCGTGTTGCGATTCTCCTGTGACTAATGTTTAGAATACCATTGGCAAAACACGTGGGCAACAGGAAGTTTTAAGGGGTAGAAGAACAACAAGGAAATGTATACACTTACAATTAGAAAAGGGCTGTTAAAATGTCTGTGATTCATAACGATGTGAAACGGTCTGAAGAATTTAACACTTACATAACGTCGAAACCAAGAGAAACGGGAAATAGCAACAACTTATTTAATATGTTTGGACTATGGATGACAGAAAAGAGACAAAAAGGTGCTGTAAATAATAAAAAGTTACTTAAAGCACCAAAAGATAGGAAGTTGTAGAGAGCCATGATCACTTGATAAATAGGTTTGTGCGAATAGATAGCAGGACAAGAAAAAAGAGGGATGGTAAAAGTTAGAGCAACAAAAGATAGGAAGTTGTGGAGATCCATGATCACCTACTAAACAAGTTTGTGAAAATAGCAGAACAAGATCAAAATGGATGTTAAAGATTGAAAAGTTAGTAGAGCAATAGAAGAAAGGAAATTGTTATATTTTATGTTATTTTTCACCCACCATATTATCACTTTTTCTGATCTCCAGTACATTTCTGTAATAATTTATAGTATAATTCTATAGTAACATTAATTGCTATAATATCTATAATAAATAAATCTGGAAAAGGAAGAATAAATGACAAGAAAAATAATTTTTAAAAAATGAAGTAATTTGAATGTTCTATAATGAAACCGCGAGCAATGCATTCACACGTTTGCTATAAGATCATGTTCCATTAACATCGTTAAAGAAATTACAATATTTACGAAGCCAGATTTTGGGTAAAATGAAAAAAAAGAGAATGAGCGATGAAACGAAAACAATATATTCCGATAAGAAGGAACAGTTGTGACAGCAATGAAAAATATGCGGACAATATTCCGAATATAATAAAAAATGCCGTATTGGTAGACTTTTATACGAGTCTCGAAGTGTCTATGTTGTATTGCTCTATTCTCTACGCCTTTTCATTCTATTGAATTTATAAAAAACTTCAGTAGAATTTTAGGGAAAAATTGTATTTTATTCTTTTGTAAAATAATCCAAAATTTAAATATTCTTTTTTTTAAAATCATGAAATTTGTTTTTTTATTCACTCCCACGCGATTCAAACTTTCTTATCTGATTTTTATTTCATTAGAATTTTTTATGCATTTGCGTAATGAATCCAACCATTTATATCCCTGGTTTCATAAACAGTGTTTAATATTAAAATAGAAAATAAACAACATACAAAACGGATTCAGCAGAGTTAAACTTTTTGATAAAAATAATTGCTTTTCTTAAAAATACCAGAAGACATGATTAGCGGCTAATGAAAAACTTAATTAAAAGAAATGACCAAACAGCTTCATTCCACCCAAAATGAAAGCCTTGCTAAAAATTTCAAGATCGCCTCTGCGGAACTGAAAATGAAAA